GAACTATGACCAGAAGTTGGAGTTGGAAGACTAGGCAAAGAGCACAGGCCATGGGGGCCAGCAGGTGGCCAGTGGTTAAGGCACTGGATCCCACGTGGCTGACTCTGCAGTTTGAGTCCTGGACCTGACAACTTGGAAAACACGCTGGGAGTGTGTGCATATGTGCCCAAAATCCTGAGAGGAAAATAGAGAAGGGATTGTGGCGTGGCCATCCCCTCTGAGGGTGTTTCTTACTTTCTCTCTCTCTCTCTCTTTCTCTCTCTCTCTAGTAGCATGTGCTAACTGTTCCCACGGCATGCAGGCAGCAGAGTGGATGTGGACATCCTCTAGCAGGGAAGGAGCGGCTGGAGGGCACAGTACTCAACCACCTCCCCCACCCTCTCCAGCCTGCCATCTCCACTCCCTAACCTTGGCACCTCAGTGCCTTGCCACAGCAGCCAAGTGTGAGGCTGTGAGCCTGGAGCCTGTGCTGAGGGGGTGGGAGGAGGGGGATTGAGGCTCCATGGCCTTGGGCTGCCTGCCTCATGGTGCCAGGCCTCCACATTCACCAGGAACAGTGGGCTGGTTCTCAGCAAGGTGGAGAATGTGCCCTGGGCCCTCTGTTCTGGCATGACAGAGACAAACTGGAGCTTAGGTCCCATGGGCAGCCTGGCTCTGGGGCTCCTTTTGCCATGCCCGTGACCCACCCACTAGAAACTACCAGCCGTCCTGCAGGAAGAAACAAGGGCGTCATTTTCCTAAAGATAACGATTGACCTACCAGCATGAAACCTCATGGACATATTTTAAAAGCCTGGTTAATGTTTATCCCATTCTCTGGTCAAATGCCAGGTGCCTCTCACAACAGGTGGACAGGTGCAGTCCTGCTGTGTTGTGGTGTAGGGATAGTGCACACACCAAGCTTTGGCTTGGGAAAGTGACCCCTGCCCAGACCTTACCTGACCCCTGCCCAGTCCTTACCTTTCCAGGGAGCCTGATCACCACCCTGTCATAATCACAGCCCCAATTCCATGCTAGGTGCGGTGCAAACACTGAACCTCTGCTTTATGCGTGATTCCCATGCTAGACAGAAATGAAGGCTCAAACAAGCGAAGACCCTACTCCCTGTGGCAAAACTAGGAGCAGGGGCTGGCAGGTGGCATGGTGGTAAAGGTGCTGGACTCCCACATGGACAACCACAGTTTAAGTCCTGGATCTGGAGGCTTGCTTTCTCATTTTCCCTCTCTCTCCCTCTTTCTCTCTCTGGTCAAATTAAAAAAATAATAACAATAATTAAAATTAATTAAAAATTTAAAAACTAGGAGCAAAAGAACCCGAGTTATCTGGATTCTTGTCTTGATCCTCTGCTACTGACTTCTGACCTACTATCTCTTCCTGGGCCTTGCTGTTCCTGAGATCTCAGACTTGTTAAGAGCCAAACTCTAGTAGGCATTTTTTTTTGTTTGTTTTGTTTTTGTTTTTTTGCTATAGGGCTTTGCTTTTTGTGTTTTTGAAGGTTTTTGTTTGTTTGTTTTTAAAGTCATTCTCACTTTTACTAATACATACATCTGGGTTAAAATAGTGGAATCAGAAAGACACTTCCTCATTATCAACAAAGTGAATTTTTTTGTAAATTTGGGAGACTTCAGTTTTGAAATGGAAGTGGTGGAAGAGATCTCAAAGATCACCCTGTCTAACTCTCCAGAAAGAAAAAGCTATAGACCTAAGGTCACACAGATAGTGACTGAGCATTTATCAGAACTAGAGGCTTCTGTCCCCTTAATCCACGACCTGCTTGCTTCAGAGTGTTTTTTGTTTTGTTTTGTTTTTAAATTGGCCTGAGGGCAACTGTGCTTACAGGGGAGCAGTGAGTGAGAAAGCACTCTTCCCCCCCATGGGGGATGCCCACACCCCATCCCTTCTCCTCCATTTCTCCCTCCTTTGGGGAGTTTGGGCACACATGCACATGTGCTTGGCATGTTTTTAAAGTTACCAGGTCTAGGACTTGAACTGTGCAGTTGGCCATGTGGAATCCAATCACCCTCACCGCCATGCCACTGACTGGCCCAGCTTGGTCTTTATGGTCGCAGATTCTAGCCCAGAGGGACTGCAGATGACTCCCCAGGACCCTAGACTGGGACCAGGTCACATTCAGGCTACAGAACATGAGGCCGGATGTCCTGGCCTTCACCTTGCCTATGGCCCTGGCCCCAGCCGATGGGGTGACCATGGGCCCTCCCTGAGAGAGCAGCTTCCCAGGCTGAATGGACCAGCTTGCTGGGAGATCTCTGTGCTCCCTGAGACCATCACCTGGCTCCTGCCCTAGGGGAGCAGTACACTGACTGTGGCAATCTGTGAAGCTGCTCTGGTAAGGACCCTTCTCTGCAAGTAGAATGGCTTCCACCTTCTTGACATGGGCCTCCTTGGAAATGAGGTCTTTTCTCAGACTTGGCTTGGTCGCCATTAACCCACAGCAACACTGACAGCCTCTCAGAACTGTGAGCCAGATGCTGAACTGAGAGCTTCACAGAGCCCACCCTCCTCTGCAACCCTATCTCCTGTCACTTGCTTCCTGGCTCACCAGGAACTCCGGCTGCCTTTGTTTTTTTGCTGATTCGCTAGACTTATTGCTGCCCCAGGGCCTCTGCACTTGCCATTCCCACTGCTGGACTACTCATACTCCCACTCTTCCTATGAGTGGCTCCTTTTCATCATTCAGAACTCAAGTCTCCTCAGGGAGACCCCCTCCTTCCCACCCTAGTCACTTCCTCTAGATCCTGTGCACTTATCACTAACATCTGACTTTGTCTAGTGTACTCGACTGCTTCCTTAGTTTCTGTGCCCACCAGCACAGCAGCTGCCTGAGAGCAGGATGCAGGATCTTTGCTGGTTTCTGTCTCCACTATGTCCTTAGCCCTGGAATGGTGCCTGGTCCATCGCAGGTCTTCACTAAACATTGGCTGAATGGCCAACCACAATGCTAGCCATGTGAAAAGGTCAAGGGTTCGAATTCTGGCTCAGCTGGAACCACCAGCCTCATCTATTAATGGGCTCATGATCTTGGCTGGCAGGAAGGCTGTGGGGAGGATCATGGTGTGGCAAGACCTTATCAAGGGTGCCTGTCTCTCTCTTGTCCCTCACATCTCACTCAAAAGAAAGAAACTTACATTTTTTTCTGGGGGCCAGCAGGTGGCATGGTGGTTGAGGCACTGAACTCCCACATGGCCAACCACAGTTTGAGTCTCAGACCTGGTGGCTTGCTTTCTCTCTTTTCCTCTCTCTCTCTCTCTTCCTATGGTCAATTTTAAAAATTATAATAATAGGGACCAACAGATGGTGTAGTGGTTACATCGCTGGACTCCCACATGGCTGACCGCAGTTCAAGTCCCGGACCCATTGGTTTGAAACATGTGCTGGGCACATGTGCATGCATGCCTTAGATTTTGGAAGAAGAATGGAGAAGAAGTGATTGTGGTGTGGCCATCCTCTTTGGGGGGTAATTTCTCACTTTCCCTCTCGTTGTCTCTGTCTCTTCCTCCACCAAGTGCACACACCCTAAGGCAAAAACCACAATAAAAGTATAATTTAAATAAAAATTAAATAATTAATTATTTAAAAAATTCTTTGCTGTGGGACCAGCAGATGGTGTAATGGTTACATCACTGAACTCTCACGTAGTAGACTGAGCTTCAAGTCCTGGACCTGATGGCTTAAAAAACACAGTGGGTGCGTGTGGGTATGTGCCCAAAATCCAAAGAGGAGAACAGAGGAGAAGGGACTGTGGCGTGGCCATTGTAGGGGATGATTTCCTGTGTTCTGTCTCTATCTCTCTGTCTCTCCAGTGAATGGACATGCCTTACAGCAAAAATCTCTCTTAAAAAATTTGCTTAAAATAATAATAATAAAATAAAAATAAACAAACAATAATTTTAAATAATAAAAAAATTTGCTGAGTGGATGAAAGAATAATCTAATTCAGTTCTCATGACAATTATGTGGTAGTATAGTAGAATAGAATAAAGATGGTTGCAAATTCTTTGCTATTCCTTCAAGGAGAGGGAAGGCTCTCTCCTCTATCTGTGGATCTGGAATGATCTTGTGATTCACCTGACCAACAGATTTTTTTTTTTAGAATTATTTTATTTGACTTACTTACTTACTTTATACACACACACACACACACACACACACACACACACACATATATATAATTACTTGACCAGAGAGGAACAGAATGAGAAAGAGGAAAGAGAGAGAGAGAGAAAGTGAAAAAGCAAGCTGCCAGATTGGGAATCAAACCGTGGTTAGCCATGTGAGAGTCCAGCACCCTTAACTACCATGCCACCTACCGGCCCCTTGACGAATAAAATTTGGTGACAGAAAAGAGGCCATGCATTTTCTGAAGCCAGATCTTAGGAAGCCTTTTTGCTTCTACCTGAGGCTCTTGGAACATTCTCTTTGGGGAAGCTGGTTGCCATGTGAGAAGTTAGATTAATCTGAGTCTGCCAAACAGTCAGGAGGCCAGGCAGCCATGTGGTGCTGGAGAAGGGAGTGAAGAACCCATCTTCCATAACCAGCCCCATCAAGTTCAGATGACTCTAGCCAGCTATCCTTAGTCTGCAACCACTTGAGTCCACATGAGCCCTGCCTAGCTAAGTCCTATTGATGGACATAACTGTGAGAGATAATAAACCATTTTAAGCTACCAAGTTTGGTGATGTTTTGTTATGCAGCAATAGCTAACTGAAACAGGTGGGCATATTCTCTTCATTTTTCAAAGGAACCGAGGTACTGAAAAGTCAAACAACTTACCCAAAGTCACTTGGCAGCACAGGTATTTCAGCATAGATTGTCTCCAGAGGGGCTCTGCTTTTAACCTGTAGGCTACTCCACTCTGAAGCTAATTCATACTTATTCACATTTGTTCTTCCTGATTTCTTTTTTTTTTTTTTTTAACATCACTGGTGGGCAGCATTGGGTTGAGAACTGGTCCTGAGACTCGTCTCATTCTCCTTATAGATCTTCATAGACAATGAGTGGCATGATGCCATCAGCAAGAAAACATTCCCCACTGTTAATCCGTCCACTGGAGAGGTCATCTGCCAGGTGGCTGCAGGGGACAAGGTAAGAACTGGTCACTTACTTCATGGCAGGGCTGATTCTGTTTTTTTTTAAGAGTATATGCTTTTGTACAGTTGCAATGTTACTATGTACATATTACTTTCCTAACTAAAAAGATGCCGATTTAAAAATTTAGAATGAATTAACAGAATCTTCTCCTGAAGACAAAGGTGCTAGGTTCTATCTGGGTTCAATAGTTCATACAGTGTGAAACTTCTGACTTGAAGTCTAGGTCATACTTAACATTTATATGAAAGGCCTTGCCTTCTTTGCTAAAACCAAATGTAAATAATTTTCTGGTTAATAGGGCAGTCTGATGGTAAATATGTTTAATATAAATAAAACCTGTCCCCTGACTCTTGATTTGCCTCCCTCTATATGAGAAATGCCAACTGTGTTGATTTTACTGCCTCCCCAAGGAGGGAACTGGATGAATTTGCATTCGCTGGAGAATGCCAGTTGTCTTGGAAGGATGGCTCACTTTGCTGGGCTTGCTTTTAGGCAGCAAGAAAAAGTGGTCAGATTCTAAACATTGACCTCTGGGTACCTCTCCCTCTATCAGTCTTTGGGGATTTTGAAATGGAAATACAGAGGGACGAGCAGTTGGCATAATGGCTATGTCACTGGGCTCCCATGTAGTCGACCATGGTTCGAGTCCCGGACCCGGCAGTTTAAACTCATGCTGAG